TGATAATTTTGTGGCGCATAGGTACTCGTCACAACACCTATACGCTACACACATAGAATTTCACATAGCAAATAAGTCGGAGATCCCTAATCCCTCAAGTCAAAGTTACACTAAACACTTACCTCAAGCCAACGGGTATTTCTAAGTGCAATCACCGCTTTACCTCTCGATTCCACCACCAATTCACTCGTATCTAATCACAATTAACTTAATAACATTAATATATGCTAAATAACTCAATTCCAATGCATAATTATAGGTTTTCTAATATTTTCCCCTAAATGTCAAAAACCCGACCCAGACCCGCTTGGTCCAAACGCGAAATTCGGGCCAAAATTTGACTACTATTCACCCCCGAGCTCGGATACACAATTGATTTTGGAATCCGACCACAAATTGAGGTCTAAATTTTAAATTTATAAAAATCCCTAATTTTACCCAAACCTCCAATTTTGACCATAGAAATATTAGATTTTTGGTTGAAAATTCATGAAATGTGATGGAAAAGTGAAAGAAAGTGGGTTGGGATCACTTACCAAGATTTTGGGGAAGATTTGGTCTTGGGAGAATTGCCTCTAGGGTTTTAGGATTTGAGAGATGTGAAAAATGGGTGAAAATCCCATCTAAGTCCCAACTTAACTGCTGCAGATATCGCAATTGCGAAGCTCGCAAATGCGAGAACGACATCGCAATTGTGAACCTTCCGCACTTCTGATGTTATCGCAAATGCAAACCATTTGGTCGCAAATGCGACACCCCTTGCTCTGATTTCTTCGAAAATGCGAATAGTAGTTCGCAACTGCGAACATGCCCAGGCCCATCTTCCTTCGCATTTGTGATGGAAGCCACGTAATTGCCAAGCATTTGAAGCTCGCAAATGCAAAGCCTTGCGAGATCAGAGGCCTGCAACTCAGTTGAAGCATACCATCAATTCCCTAAGTTCAAAAATCACTCCGTAGCCTATCCAAAACTCACCCGAGCTCTCGGGGATCCAAACCAAACATGTACAAGTCCTAAAATATCATATGAACTTGCTCGCGCGATCAAATCGCCAAAATAACATCTAGAACTATGAATTCAACACCAAAACTCATGAAATTTTCAAGATAGTTCAAAATTTCTAGCTTTTCAACTAAAGGCCCGAATTACATCAAATCACCTCCGTTTTTCATCAAATTCCAGAGATAATATCTAAATATCATAACGGACCTGTACCGAACTCCAGAACCAAAATACGGGCCCGATACCAACAAGATCAAATCTTATTATTTTTGCAAAAACCATTATATTTTCATTTAAACAATTTCCTTCAAAAATTTATTTTTCGGGCTAGGGACCTCGGAATTCGATTTCGGGCATACGCTCAAGTCCCATATTTTAATATGGACCCTCCGGGATCGTCGAAACTCAGGTCCGGTTCCCATACACCCTTATTCCACCTGTTGCGACGTGCAACCCGATCCTATTGTATTAACATATCCACTCTTATTCCACCTTAACAATCCTCCCTTATTATACCTGTTGCGGCGTGCAGCCCGATCCCACCATATCAGTACCAAACACTCATTGTACACAGTCAACTCAACAATCTAGATCACAAGGCCTTTACGATAAATAAATACCAAACTAAACTAGGAATGAAAGGAGACCATGTTCAATATAGAATCTACTCAAATAATACTACACAGCGAGACCAAACCAGCAATTTACAGTTAGGAGGTGCAAACAAGTCAAATTAAGCAAATAGCAGAGATTAGGGGAACTATGGAAAGAGTTAACATGGTTCACAGAGAAAGATATTAATTAACACGTAACAGTTAAGCATGAAAAACATTTAGAGCATGTAACAATTAAGATAAGAAAGAAAAGGGTAAATCAGGGAGAACAAATAATTCGGTAGCGTATAAGCACTCGTCACCTTGCATATACGCCGCTCACATGTAATTCACATAGCACAAAGTCTGAGGGTTCCTAATTCCTTCAAGTCAAGGTTAGATACAACACTTACCTCACTCCGCGGTCAATTCAAAGCTCTACCAGGGCCTTTTCCCTAGAATTCACCTACAGACCACTCGTATCTAGCCACAATTAACTCAATAACGTCAAATATTGCTAAAGGAATTAACTACAATGCATAAACTTAGATTTTCAAACTTTCCCCCATTAAATCAAAAATTGACCCAGGCCTGCTTGGTCAAAACCCGAGGTTCGAACCAAAACCCATTTACCCATTCACCCCCGAGCCCGATTATGTAATTTGTTTTGAAATCCGACCTCAATTCAAGGTCTAAATTCCAATTATACAAAAATCCCTAATTCCACCCAAACCCTCAATTTTCACCATGAAAACCCTAGATTTTTGGTTGAAAATTCATGAAATGTAATGGGTAATTAAAAGAAAGTAGGTTAGAATCACTTATCAACAAATTGGGGAAGAAATTATCTTTTGAAAATCGCCTCTAGGTATTCTAATTTTGAAATTTTGAAACAATGGGCCAAAATCTCGTAATGGGATTGTTTTATCACTGGGCACTAGTGTTCATCGCGTTTGCGTGAACACTGATGCGTTCGCAAAGAGCTGCGCCTTAATAGCTTACGCGATAGTAAGAGGCTTAACGTGTTCGCGAAGGTTTAGCCCCCCGACCTTCGAGTTCGGGGGATAACCTCAAGTTCCCCAGCCCAGCCCGTCTAATGCTACACATTCGCGAAGGGTAGTCCCCCCACTGCTCCACGTTCGTGAAGGGTAGTCCCCCCACTGCTCCACGTTCGCGTCCTGTGCCTCGTGTTCGCATAGGGTATTCTCCCCTAGTCCCAATTTTCCTATTGTGATCGTGGTTGGACATACGCGATCGCATACAAGTCTACACCGGACACCAGGTGAAGCAAACACCAGATTTTTTCTAAGTCTAAAACATCCGTAGCCTATCTGAAACTCACCTGAGCCCTCGGGGCTACAAACCAAACATGCACACAAGTCCTAAAATATCATACGAACTTGTTCGCGCGATCAAATCATCAAAATAACACCTAGAACTATGAATTGAACACCAAATCGAATGAAATTTTCAAGAAAGCTTTAAAATCTCTATTTTCACAACCGGACGTCCAAATCACGTCAAAGCAACTCCGTTTCTCACCAAATTTAGTAGACAATTCCTAAATATCCTAATGAACCTGTACCAGACTTTGGAACCAAAATACAAGCCGGATACCAACATGATCAAATATTAACCAAATTCTTAAAGCCATTAGATTTCAGTCTTTCAATCAACAAAAATTTATATCTCGAGCTAGGGACCTCGGAATTCGATTTCGGGCATACGCCCAAGTCCCATATTTCATTACGGACCTGCCGGGATCGTTAAAACACGGGTTTGGATCCGTTTACTCAAACGTTAACCAAAGTCAGATAAAATCAACTTTTAAGGCAAAAATTATTATTTTTATCAACTGTAAACATAAAAGCTTTCTGAAAACACGCCGGACCGTGCAAGCAAATCGAGGATGGTAAAAATGAGATTTTTAATGCTTTAGCGCGCAGAATCGAAATCTAAAACATAAGATGACCTTTTGGGTCATCACAACATTCATATTCAAGTTTCTAAACATAGCCTTTCAATGAGGAGTTGTCATATTTCAATCCCACAAAAATAGTTTAAGGTCGAGGTTTTAATAGATCAATTTCGACCCTGACTTTAGCCACACTAGGCCTAGTCCTACCTCTTGTAGCCATGTCCATTTCAAAGAAGTTCCCATAGAGCTAACAACTTGTTTGACATAATTCCAAGTATGCATGTGCAAAGGAAGACCAAATAAAAAGACCCATACCAGCAATAGGTAGGTCTTCTTCAGGATTGAAGTCGGGAGACCACTTCGGAAGCCACACCTCCTGGCCGTTGATTTCAATAACTCGTCTATACCAGACCATATTGAAGTCATCTTCATTGGTAAAATCAAGGAAAATATTATAATTGTGGTAAACTCCGATCTTGGTAGATCCCTTAAGAGAAATCCGTTCCTTAAATTTGGACCTTAGTCGATCAATTTGAGGTCTTGGTTTGAGGAATCTACCAAATCGTAAGCTTGCATTTGGCAGCCATGATACCGTAATAGTCTGTAGCCTTAAAAAGAACAGCTGGCATTCCATTTTGCATAGTTTGCTTAGTAATCACCGATTCTCGTTCATGGCGATTTGGGGTCACAGTTGAACTTGGTGTTGATGTCACTTTTGTTTCATAGGGAGAGATTTCCATTAATAGCATCTATATTTGGATTCTCCGTAGTGGTGTGAGCATTTGACATTCTAGACGCGTCGGTATGACGCTGTCCGGAGGGTCCATTTAGAAGGAGCATGAGTACCACTCGTGAAATTGGGTATTTATTGGGGTTTTTTTTTGGTCTGTAGTACTTTTCCTAAGTATCCATTGCCACTTTTCCTTTCGTAACTGTGCACTCATACAAAGTGGAGATAGGCTTTTGGACATCTATTAAGAACCAAGTGCTTTTTCTTTATCTTTGACGTTACGTTTTTTGTCTCTCATATTTTTTAATTGTTTGCTTGGTAATATTGAGCACGTTAGTGAATTATCGTGCTCAGCCATCGGAATGGCCAGAGGAAGGCCGACGAAGAAGCAAAATAACAAAGCAGTAGTGGTCATTGAAGCCATTGCTAAAAGGATCGGTGTAACAACAACATGCAGCGATGGTGAAGCCGTAGAAGAAGTGACAGAATGGCCAAATCTACCAAATCGAAGAAGTGGACCTAACAGACTTGTAATCCCGAGCGGATTTATGCAGATGAGAAACAACCAGACAAAAGGAACTCCTCAATCCATGGTGCATGTATATGTATGTGGAAATCAAACTCAACAGGAACTGATAAAATAGGGAGACGATAAGGAGAAGGACATGCAGCAGATAAAGGAGGAAACATAAGCTAAAAGGCCGGAGAATAAGACATGGGCAAACCTAGTGGGAAATAATCGATTTGTATACGAGGTATGAATCTTAGCTTTGTAGCTCCAATTGTTCAAAATGGGGAAACAATTGTGGAACTAGCAAAAAATGAAGTAGAAAAGGAAACAGAGAAATGGAGGAATGCTTTGATTTTGTATGTTGTAGGTAATACACCTACGATTGGAGCTCTGGAGAGATTCATTGTAAGCCAGTGGAATTTTGTAGCTAAGCCAATGATATTTTACCATAATGAGGGGTATTTTGTGATAAAATTCAATAATATGGAGGATAGAGATGCTATTCTGTATTCTGGACCTCATACAATTGGAAACAAACCTATAATCACAAAAATTTTGACACCAGAGTTTAATTTCAAAGATGAAATCCTGAAAACTATTCTACTATGGGTCACCTTGCCAAACCTCCTGTTGAATTGTTGGAGTGCAGACTCATTGAGTAGAATTGGGAGTGGTTTAGAGGTCCCTTTGTATGATGATGAGTGCACGACTAAAACGGAAAGAATATCATATGCTATAATCCTTATTGAAATGGATGTAACAGTTCCATTACCATAAGCTATTAAGGTGCAGGACCCAAATGGTAGGAAATTCAGTAAGAGTGGAGTATATATGGAAGCCTGAGTATTGTGGCAAATGTTTGATGATTGGTCACTGTTGCAATGAGACAAGGCAGCAGAAAAATGTCAAAGTAATGAAGAAAAAATGTACAGAATAAATATGGCAAGTAAAAGAGGCAGCAGGGCAAAAACAGAAAAAAATGAAAGAGAAAGAGAATCCAACAAATACTGAAAGCCAGTTAGTAGCAGAAAACAATGAAGGATGGAAGGCAGTAAAAGGGAAATCAGCAGCAAAGCCAATACATGTGCCAGATGAAGGTAGGATGAGCATAACAAATGGTTTTAATGTGCTGAATAAGCAGAATGAATTTGATCAACATTATGACCAAGGTAGAATAGTTGAAAGAGGGCAGAGTAGTAGAGGTGAGAATACTGGGGTTGTGCAGAATCTGTTCCAACAAGAATGAAGTTAGTAGTCTGGAATATAAGGAGTCTAAATAAGACCTTTAAGTAAAAGGAGTTATGTAGGTTTATTAGTATAAATAAAATTAGCATTATGACTATTTTTGAACATAGAACAAATGAAGAAAAAGGGAAATAGATCATGAAGAAAATTGCAGCATGTTGGAATTATATTACAAACTATGATGAGAATGGGAAAGGTAAGATATGGGTAATATGAGATCCAAACAATATCCAATTCACTGAGTTGGGGAATAGTAGTCAGCTGATACATGGGAAGGTGGAAACTGGTGCATGCAAAATACAATTCTATTTCACAGTAGTGTATGGGCTCCACACTGTTGAGGATAGGAAAGTATTATGGCAGGAGCTAGAGAGGTTCAAGTATGGAGTTGATGGGCTTGGATAGCAATGGGGGATTATAATGTGGTGCTGGGGGTTGAAGATAGGAAGAGTGATAACCCAGTGCAAGAAGTAGAAATAAGGGATTTTAGGGAATTCATGCTTAATAATAACATGAATGAACTAAAATATATAAGAAGGAAGTTCACATGGACAAATAATCATGTGTGGAGTAAGATTGATAGAGTCATTGTCAATGCAGAGTGGATGACAACAATGAAGCAAATGGAAATAATTGTGATGAAACCATTTATATCTGATCACACACCAGTATGCCTTCATCTGGAGGAAGCAAGGAAGGAGGGGCCTAAACTATATAGATTCTATAACTATGTAGCTAAGCTGCCAGAATTTCTAACAGTGGTGAAACAAGCATGGAATACAACTACAAAGAGGGCAAGGAATGGAAAAAGTGTGGCAGAAACTTAAAGCAGTAAAACAGGAAATGAAGAAGATGCACACAAGAAAATTTAAAAATGTTAGAGAGACAGTTCAATTAATAAGGAGACAATTTCAGGATACACAAGAACAAATGCATGATCCAAACTATCAAACAGGTTTGGCTGATATAGAGAAGGAACTAAGAGGCAAATTGGAAAAATGGGCAATGATAGATGAGGGAACAATGAGGCAAAAGTCTAGATCAAAATGGTTGAAACTGGGGGATTCAAATAGTGCTTACTTCTATGCATGTTTGGAAAATAGGACTTCTATGAACCATATCAAATCCCTTGTTGATCAGGATGGAAAGCTATTACAGAATGATCAAGAGGTGCAACAGGAAATTGTAGGGTTCTACAAGAACTTACTAGGAGATGCAACAGAACAAATGCCAATGATTAATCCAACAATAATGAAGAATGGAGCAATACTGACAAGAGAACAACAACTGAAGCTAATAGAACCAATCACCACAGATGAGATATGTAATGTTGTGAACAACATAGATGATAACAAAGCCCCAGGCTGTGATGGTTTCAATGCTTGTTTCTTTAAGAAAGCATGGTCAGTTGTAGGAGAAGAAATAATCAAAGCAACAAAGCAGTTCTTTGACACTGGAGAGATCTACAAGCCTATAAACTACACTGCTATGACATTGATCCCAAAAGTTAAAAATCCTAGTTCAATCAAGGAATATAGGCATATATCTTATTGTACTGTCTTATACAAGATAATATCAAAGGTAATCACTACAAGATTGCAGAAGATTATGGAGAATCTCATAGACATAAGCCAGGCTGCCTTTGTACCAGGCAGAGTCATCTTTGATAACATCATCCTAAGTTATGAATTGGTGAAGGGCAATGGAAGAAAGGGTATTACTCCATGGTATATGATCAAGCTAGATATGCAAAAGGCATATGATTCTCTGGAATGTGTTTCTTAAAGCAGATATTGATAGCAATGAACTTCCCTGCCAGATTTGTGGAATGGATCATGAACTGTCTCTCTACTGTCTCATATTCTATTCTGATTAATGGGAGTCCAAGTTGTCCTTTTCAATCTAGGGAGGGTCTTAGACAAGGGGATCCACTATCTCCTTATTTGTTTGTCATAGCAATGGACAATCTCAGCATGTTACTCAGAACTCTGAAGAACTAGCCAGATTTTAACTACCATCCAAGATGTGAAAAGCTGCAAATTATTCAGCTGGGATTTGCTAATGATCTATTGCTATTCTGTAGGGGTGATGAAGTTTCCATCCGCATGTTATATAACTTATTTATGGAATTCTCAAAGGTGTCAGGTCTAACTGCAAATAAGAGTAAGAGTTCCATATATTTTGGTGGTGTAAATCCAACAATGCAGCAAAAGGTCATGGATGATCTGGGGTTTTCAAAAGGAGAGTTGCCTATAAGGTACCTAGGAGTCCCACTGAGCACAAAAAGGATGTCAGTTATTCAATTCCAGCCATTCCTGGACAGGATGCTTGATAGAATAACATCTTGGACTGCCAAATTTCTCTCATATGCTGGCAGAATACAGTTAATAAAAAGTGTTCTGATATCTATCCAAATATACTGGTCTCAAATATTTGTATTCCCTAAGAAGGTAATTCATCTCATTGAAGCCATATGCAGGAAATTCCTATGGTCTGGGGGAGTTGAGGTGACAAAAAAAGCTCTAGTGGCATGGGATAAACTATGTCAACCAAAAGCAAGGGGGGCTGGAATATGTTAAATGTTGAGTTGTGGAATAAAGCTGCAATATGTAAGCTGCTATAGAACTTAGCTCAAAAAAAAGGATAAACTCTGGGTGGTATGGATTCATACTTATTATGAAAAAGGAAAGCATGTAAAACACATAGAAACTAAGCAAGCTTCATGGTTGGTACAGAAGATCTTGAAGGCAAAACTATACATGACTGATGCTGGGGCAAACTTGGATGAGATACTTGACAATAAGAACATAACCATCAACTACATATACAAGATGTTGAAACAGGATCACCAGAAGATGCCTTGGAGGAAGCTGATATGTAACAATGGAGGTATGCCAAAGTGGATTTTTATTCTGTATGTGGCAATAATGGGAAAACTGGATACAAGAGATACATTAGGAAGACGGGGAATAACAAATAATCTACTATGTCCTATATGCAACGAAGAAGAGGAAAGCATGAAACACTTATTTTTCAAGTGTACATACACAACAACAATATGGGAGAAACTACTGCAGTGGATGAATGTTAATAGACGACCGATAGAATGGAGTCAAGAAATAGAATGGGCATGCAACAACGTTCGAGGCAGATCAGCAAATGCAGAGATCTACAGAATAGCATTAGCAAGTTGTGTCTATTATGTATGGCAGGAGAGGAATCATAGAATTTTCAGAACTCAACTGAGACTAGCAGGAGTACTGATGAAGCAGATTATACAAATGGTTTGTGGAAGGGGATATACATTATCAAGATTGAGAAGAAGATTAGAAGAGTTAAATTTCTACCCTTAAACGCAATTGTTAGCTCGTAGTTAGTAGGTAGGAAAATAGAAGTATAGGAAAAACTAATTCTAGGAAGATGTCCAGAATTAGTGTTTGTTTTTGCTCTGTAATTTCGTTCCTTGGTAATAAAATATGATAATTACCAAAAATATTGAGTATTTCATGTGATTTCTCCTAAGATATCGTTCTTTCCTTGTATTGTTTTCTTGCAACAGATACATGATCACATGGAAATTGGAATTGCCGAGCTGCCATGATATAGGAGCAAAATTTTAATTATTATAATCTCAATTATCATCATATCTATATTATTATAAAAGCATGAATATAATATCAGTATACAAAAATGATCTTATAATATTAAGCATAATAACTAATAATAAAAAAACATAACCGAAATTTTAGATATTGGCCTTGTACTTCTATTAGTTTTAGGACATAAACATAACAAAAATAGCCCTAAAATATTAGTTGACTTCTTATATTATTAATGTACAAAAACGTAAAAGTAATTCAGTAATTGTAGAGTTCAAGTCAAATTGGTACATAGATACAAGTAGAATAAATTTCTACGTTCAATTTTACAAAGTTTGACGTTAACAGAAAGCCAACTCATATATATGTTTTATTATTAAATCAATTGCAACAGTAAAAAAAATGGGTTTATTATGCAAGGAAAAAAAATAAGTTTTCGATAGCTTTTCAAGTAGGAGTACAAAATAAGATTTGTGATTGTTTTTGGTATTCCAAAAATAGTGTAGTAATAATTTTTAAAACCTTTTTTCTTTTTTCTTTTATTAAGTAACTCGGTTCCGACTTCCTAGAGTATTGTACAATAGTTTAAATAGTTAACTTTATTTGGATAGTACGTGGTCTTTTGAATAATAATGTATTAGCATTTATTTATTTATTATTTTTTATTTACTTATATATTTATTATAAATGTTCAAAACATATTTTTTAGACATTTCTCAATCAGGAATATGCTTATTTTTTATTTTACTTTTTATATTTTTGTTTGTGATTACTATATTTTACTATATTACTCTTAAATAGATAATGGGTGATTCGTACAATAGATTTGCATAAAAATCTTGAGAAAAACCATTGTTCATACAACTTGTTAAAGTACACAACTAACTAACTTGAAGATCTTATTTAACTTTCTTAAAATTAAGAAAATTCATCAATTAATAAATTTTTGTCTAATCACTCTTCCTTTTCTTTTCCTTGCGGGTTTTGGGTTAATATTTTGTTGTACGACTTCAATTATAAGTGATCTCCTCTTAATTTACATGGCAAAGAAAAGATATGCTCAATATTAGTTCCAAAGTTTTAAAGAGAAAAAGAATCCGGATTATTTAGGCCAGGAAACAAATAGAAAACGGAAGATGGAAAACAAAAAAAAAAGTAACACTTTATATCATATGTTATGTAAGCTGATTTTTATGTTTAAAAGATAACTTTATTTCTTATAATGTTTTTTTCTGTTGGATGGATTATAATATATAAAAGTTTAGTCGCTACGAAGTTGAACCAAAATTCACAACTCACTAATGATATAACAAAATAGATTACAAGCTAAAAACGTTCTAATATGATGCAAATAATGAACAACCACATTGATTATTTTGAGAGAAAAAAACAGAACTAATATATGTAGATACATGAGTAATAACCAATATTTGGACATACTAAACTATTTCATGCATGAGCATGTACACTTATGTAAGAGACACATGATTGAAGTTTAATGAGGAGTTCAATCTAGAGATTGACTTATTAGCTAATGACTTTTTATCTTTGTATTCTTCATTATTAATGTATCTTAATATAAAGAAATATGACTTTTATGTACCTGAATCATTAATGCTTAACTAAATTAAAGTAAATCATCCAATCACCAAAAAATGTTAAAGTATTGTTGCATACTTTAAGCGATTTACTACTTTAATTGCATAATTATGTCATTTTAGCTATTACTTTCAGAAAAGTATGTGATAATATTTGATATAAAATATTTGTGCATCGCACGAACGTAGAGACTAGTTATACTAAAAGTAGGAAGCTACTAACTTCAAAATTGAATTACGATAATATCCTTTAAAATTTGAGTTACAATTTTCTCCTTGAAAAAAAAACCTTTAATTAAATAATATTCAAATTTGATTAGAAGTTAGCCGATGATGTTGTAATACTTTAATGCTTCATCAAATCAATTCAATGAATTCAATGAGGTTTAGGCCATTCATATTTTCCTTCCACAAACGTTCTCATTTAATTATTTCCTCATAATTACCACGGAAACGTTTCTCCCTCTTCTCCATTTCTCTTGAATTCTTAATTTCCAAGAGCTTTAACAATACAAATTTGAATCATTAGGGAAAATCAGAAGGTAAAATAAAAAAGGATATCTGATAAGCATGTAAGCAACGAATGGAGAATTTGTTGAGTTTCACTCTTTATATTTTGTTTGTTTCATCTTCCATGGTAACCTCCTTTTTTACATTCTTTATTTATGTCAATGTAATTACCTTAGTTAATTGTTGTTTCTGTCTTTCATATTCAACATTAGTAACTTCTTTTCAAAATCTTTTCACATTCTTCACCACACACTATATAAGTGCACAATAAGGTATTTTTATCTCATTATCCTTTTTGTATTCTTTCGGCGAGATTTGCTTTTTTGGCAAAAGAGTATCTTCACGCACCAGTATCTACAACGGGTATATATGTTTCAATTATTTTATGGTGTAAATATTGACTTTTTTTTTTCCAGTCCTTTTTGGATCATAGTTAGCAACCTATTATTCTTAGTTATGCGATTTTCTTAAAAAGTTCTAAAGTTAAACAGAGTACTAAATGTGAAAATCCTCTAGAAAGTCTGGAGCATCATAAGTTAATATGGAGAATATTTAGGACCGTAGAAAACCTTTATATTGTCATGTTATGTTCAAATAGCTTATGATGCAATTGTAGACTTCGCTTAGGTCCTTTTTGGATCAGAGCTAATTGACTATTGGTAATGTTTGTTGCGAATTATTTAGTATTATTATTGTTATGTTATATTTAATTAGCTTCTGCTGTAGCTGTAGACTTCGCTTAAGTACTTTTGGATCAAAGCTAATTAACCACTATAGTACTTAGTGCAGAATATGTTTGTTGCAAATTATTTGGTATTATCACGATTTGTTTGTCCTAATTCCAATGCCTTATTATTTAGATGAGTGTTAAATTCACCATCTTCATTAATATTTAATTTTGATATTAACGATGATTGTGTATATACTGTTTAAGTATTCTTCATAGCTACATCCTTCTTGTGAGACAAGTAATAGCTAATACAATCATTTTTTTTCTTCCTTTTTTTTTTTTATTGTAGTGCTATTATTATTTGCTTGTTTTATTTTGATTTTGGTGATTTTGTAGCATTTCTTTCATCTTCACCAGTTATAATATTTTTGTACTATAGCTTTTTAAATATTCTTAGTTATACTCTATAAAGGTGCACGACAAGTTTCTATGGTGGAAAACTTGAGCACACACAAAACATTTGCGGTTCCTACTTTCGTGTTGTTGTTACATATTTTATTCATAAATTTTATCATCTTTTATCTTTTCTTTAATATGAAAATTTTTACTTAAAAACTTATGAGACAATATATAAATTCTCATCGAAAATTAATTTGTGTGAATCATTCTCTAATCTACATAAAAAAAATCAAACTATCAACATTTGACATGCGATTGGCGTGTTAAAATTACATACTATTGTATTTATGCAATTCAACTAATATTCTTCATTCAAATTCACAGACGAAAGAGCTCATAATTTTGAATCGGATAAAGGGTACATGTACGTGCAATTATGATTTATAAATATAAATTACATTTATTGATTTCAATAATTATTATGTATATCTTTCACAATTAACTACTATTTCTATGCAGTTGTACACCATAACATTGATGTTGATTTTTTAGTGATCCTAGGGAAGACATATGTTGATCGAATTTCTCTACAACTTCGACAAAATTCTACTTTTATTCGATAACAACTATTTGACATATACACAACTGTGAAAAAGAGGAGGCTACAGTTTCTTAAACATAAGGCACAAAGTTTAAGACAAGTAGCACTTGCTACCATAGCCGATGTTGCTCATATTGATGTATAAAGTATGTGGTGTTGAAACATAGTAGGCTCACTATTAATTAGTTTTGAGCTTATATTTTTCTTCTTTTAAATTTGTTTAACTCATTGCACACTAATTCTAAGAATATCCACATTGCTTTAAAATATTTATACTAAAATATCTAATACAAGTAACTTTTTCTAAAGCAACAAGGTAAGTGGTCCCCAAATTGGGTAGAAAACACTATCATTTGCTGACCCTTCATTTTGTCGTTTAATTTATCACTTTGATGTCTTCTTGATTGGCCTATTAGCACATGGAGATCGGGTTTATAACCTATTATAATTTTTTTAAGTAATGGGACTATTTTTACGGGGAGTCGGTAAGAAATAACTCAGTAAATTGATAAATAAAATACATGAGATCTTTGTAGAATATTTTTTTATTCAAATTGTAAAGATCATGATAGATTATTTTCTCTATGGTGGGGTGGTGAATTTATATATAGGACACACTAATCAGAGACGTATCTAGGATTTGAAGTGGCAAGTGTCATAATTTCCTTTAATGTATAATCAGGAATTATGCCGATTTCTTTTCATATTCGTGGCTATTAAAGAACCTTCATTACTTGTGGTCTTTAATTATCCATTCCACACCTATCTTTACTTTTTCATCTATTAGGTACGGTATCCTTGTAAATGATCCCGTGGATGTTTACCCTTGCCTTCTCTAATCTTCACTCTGCTTTATTGTTTTGACTCTTATGCCACATGTCAGCATATCATTAAACCACGCGGCGAGTGTACTTTTCCACCAATACAGATAGTCTCCCCACTTTCTGAATATTCTCAACTGAATATTCGGAAAGTGGTGAATTTATTTATGGCGAAAATATCTTGCCGCCTTCAGAAGCGAAGAGACGTATGTCTCGTCCATTTAATGCTCGAGACACGTATCTTATCATGATCGGTTCCATAGTTTTACGGTGGCTTTTTAAGGTTTCTGCGGCTGTGTCAGTTTGACGACGGTTCATAATGAAGTTTTATTCTTATAAATGTTGCATCTCGTATCTTCCAAAACTTCTCCTACTCTCTTTCATTTTTTAAGCCTTCTTTGCA